AAAAGAAAAACACTCCCTGAGCAAAGCAACAAACCGACCCTGTACATGATTGACTATACTCTCCCTTTAGAAAAATCCAACGTTTCTCTTTTTAAGTTAACCACGGACAAACACACACAAATATAACACGTTACAAGATACAAATACTAATGTTTGACAAAAAAAACTACTATGTTAAACACATCCGTGATTACCACAATCTCACCGCGTTCAAATCACAGATCAAAACATATATTTTAAGTGTTCTTTTCAATTATGTTTTTCTGATTTTTCCACCCTGTAAAGTGTATAGTGTAAAAACGCTCTGTAAATGAAATGTATTATAAAATACAATTTGTAGTTGCATAAAATATCTAACAATCTTTTCTTTCTCCCTCCTTACGAGCAGCTATCCCAGGCGTGCTCAGATCTCCAGGGACTTTGCTCATCCACTTTTCAAAGTAAGTTCACCCAGCAGCGAAGTCCAAGTCCATAACAAACCCATTAAAACATATGACTCAAACCTGACCTAAATCAATGTGATCTTGAAATCTATTCCAACCAATATGTTCTGCAATACAAAGCCAGCATAACAAAAACGAATCTCATTGTTTAGTACGATGTTGGAAAATCCGCACTGTGGTTGCAGCAAGGCAGCAGATCAGCTGAATAAATAAAAAAAAGTCCAAAACAAATATCATTCCTCAATGACACACAGCAACCTGCCATGACCCCGCAGAAACGACAACAAAATACTCACATGGAAGCCCCCCATGCAGTCATAACATAAACATATTTGGAAAGCAATTCTAGGCAGCAAGGCAATTGAAAGCTCAATAGCAAAAGTGCAGGGTCCCTTCTTATAAACGAAGGCTAGGCTACATCCAAATGTGTTGGCTGATGGTATTATGACATCACTGTGGACTTATAGGCCTATTTAAATGTCTTCCTGTGTTTCCATGCAGATTCCTTGCATATTTCCCCAATGCTCCTCAGTGGTTCGCCGTGTCCTAAAATAAGGATTAGAATATGTTGACACTTTTTAATTTGGAATGCAACATTTGTGCTATTTTAAAACATTTTTGTGCAGCCGATATGTAGGTTATTATATAATACAGATGTAATGGTAAATATGTAGCCTCTGAAATATATTCCCCTTTTTATGTACGTTTTCTTTATTTTTTATCTATTTTTCTGTTTATTTCCGTCAGCTCGCTATGAGGACCCTCCTTCTGCCATTTCTCCAGATGACGCGCGCGGCTCTGGAGCGCGAGCCTTCCAGCTGCGCACTGCCTCGTTCCCGGTGCCTGACAGCTCGTGCGGCAGCCAGATGCACGAGGAGGGCTCCTTCAACGACATCCCGCAGCAGTTCGGGGACATGATGTTGCCAGGCAACGGCTACAGTGGCAACAACGACACCAACAGCAGCAGCGGTGGCAGCTACAGCGCTTCCCTGCCTGCCCCCCCCACACTGCCGCTGCCCTGGTGCCACGCGCTCTCCTCAGACGCGGACTACTACGGCCATGGGATGGTAGGTTTCTCCCTCCAAACTCCATTCAGAAAACAGCAATTTAACCATGTCTGTTTATACGTTTAGAAATATGACCCCTCTCTTTATCTTTGGGGTCTCTTCAAATTTGCAGAGCTTATATTTAAACAGTGGTGTAACGTTACTAAGTATAGCTATAGGCTACATTTACTTAAGTATTTCCATTTTAGATTACTTTGTTCTTCTACTCCAAATCAGAGGTAAATATTGTACTTTTATCCACTAAATTGACAGTTACTATGCAGATTTTGATTAATGATAACAACATATGATCAACACTTAAATAAGATTTAAATTGCACCTGGATTAAATTCACATGCAGCAGTATATAAAGTATTTAAAATGAGTGCTACATTTACAAGCTTGATCATCACAATAATACGTCAATTATTATATTAACATATGATATACGTATATTATTCTGAAATTGGCCAATCTGAGTGAGTACTTTTACTTTTGGTACTTTGATTATATTTAGATACCAATACTTTTGTACTTTTACTTGAGTACAATTTTGATTACAGGACTTTAACTTGTAACAGAGTATTCCTATACTCTGATACTTATACTTTTACTTAAGTACACGATAGCAGTACTCCTCCCACCTCTGCATTTACAATAAATCTTTCCATTGCAATAAAATGCACATTGTATAGGCAACAACTAAGAACCAATGTGTATTTCAGAATGAAATGCCTCGGGAGACATTCTTGTTTTAGTTTGGGCATGTGTCTGTTTAGCAGAGACCTGTGTTGGGGCTTGAATGCAGCACGTCGTCTATTAATTTGTCTCCTGCGGGCAGTGGTGCAAAGAAACTGTGTACATTGACTGAAGTCCTGTTTCTTAAGTACCATTTTATGATATTTCACAACTCCAATACACCTCAGAGGGATGTGTTTTACTTCCTTGTACATTTATTTGACAGCTTTTGTTACATTTTTAAATCAATATTTGACACAAGGGCTGTTATAACAAGCTTTAAAAGACTAATTCAGGGAATTCCCATAATTTTGATGTAAAAAGTACTTGAATACAGCCTATGTAAAGTCCAATTAACCTTGTGTCGTGTTCGTTTACCCCCCTTACTTTAGTGTTCCTGGTCAAATCCGACTCGTCTGTTTTAACTGCTCTTACATTAGAACAAAAAACTTTAATCATCACCAATTTGTATTTAACACCCTTTAAAGCTGTAAACAATGTGTCAGACTACTGGTTTACATTAATAACTGCAGTGAATTTACAAAGAATAGACACTGAAAACGTATTCCAAAATTAACATGGTTGTCAGTGTATGTAAATAAACATCGAAAATCAGTGAAATGTCATACCTAATTATTACACTGCTCTCATCAGTATTTCGTGAACTCAAGTGACCTCATTTAAGTGTCGAGTGACGTCATATGTTCAGTAATGTCGGCGCGGAGAATGGCTTGTCAAACTATGTGTGATGTCTAGTAGGAGATGAGGTTGCGTAGAGTAGTGTAGGTGGGTTAATAAAACTTTACGCTGGTTAAATGTCTTACTTAGGTAAGATTGAAACGAGCCATGGATAATTCTTATAGAACTACGGATTATGAAAACATGAAAATGAATTCAACAGGGAACATTGTCTACATAAACGTGGATGTGAGAACATGATATATGAAAAAATGAGTTCATGTGTCTAGACTTATGAAAGAAGGTGGAGCTCAATATAGTTATACATGCACAACTCCAGTTTAGTACTGGCTTAAATGATGAAGTATTTAATAACACTAAAAAGTAAGTAAAGGAGTTCCGGAACTAATAGGGAAGTTCATCCGTAAAATTTGTTAACAACTAGTCATGATACTAACGTTAAAACTCACCAAATTCAGTTGAAACAATTTGGATACTACAAGGCCAGTTTTACTGGTGGTTAATTACCCTTGGGATTCTAATATAAGTAGGTGTAGGTCTATCATT